GCAGCTCCATCAGAGTGCAGCTCCATCAGAGTGAGAGAGCAGCTCCATCAGAGTGAGAGAGCAGCTCCATCAGAGAGCAGCTCCATCAGAGAGCAGCTCTATCAGAGAGCAGCTTCATCAGAGAGCAGCTCCATCAGAGAGCAGCTCCATCAGAGAGCAGCTCCATCAGAGAGCAGCTCTATCAGAGAGCAGCTCCATCAGAGAGCAGCTCCATCAGAGAGCAGCTCCATCAAAGGAAAGGTGCAGATAGTTTCTCTTCACATTCAGACTAAACAAAAGCAACACTTTTTGAATATCATCAGAGGTCTATGCTTAGTGAGTCGGACCTTGAGACGGAGCCGATAGAGGGAGAACATGATGAACAAATAATAAAGATAAGAGCGGCCGACATCCAGTCTTAGTGAATCCGACCCCGAGTGTCCTTAGTGCAGAGAAATCTCCCACTTCAGTCCGTTTCTATCCCACTCGGGTCCTTCCAGTTGTACCGTGGTGGCAGTGCTGGCTCATAACTGAACGAAGCAACACAGAGATTTATTATCAACACAACATCAATGTGTCTCTCACCTGTATGTCACACTCGAGCGTCTCTCACCTGCTGTCTGAAGGTCAGACGCCTGAAGAACTTGTTGACCTCGTACGCTCCGGGTTTGACGGCGTCTCCCGGCTTGCCGCTCTCTCCTAACCTGACGATTTGTCCTTTGGCGACGGCGGCTCTGAGGCCCAAGCTCTTGACGATCTGAGCGCCGGGCTCCGAGCCGGGCGTGGGCCGAGACGACACGGTGATGTAGAAAGCGTCTTTCTGGTTTCCGTGGTAACTCACTGTCGGAGAAGAAGAAAAGGTAAAACAACATGTTGTTGTTCTGAGGATGATTTGGTGTTCGTCCTGTTTTGACGTCATGTTGATAAAGTCTGTATGTTGTGTTTTATTTTGAAAACTCTATGTGCATCTTCTTGTCTGACTTCCTGTCCGGGTCGATCTATTCCGTCCATACTTCGTACCTGCAGAGGTGACCGCCGTGTCCGTGGTGCTGTGGAGCTCCAGGAGGATTCTGGGATACGCAGGGTGAAGCAGGAAAAGTTTTCTGATGAGCGGCTGAGCTGCGGCGACACCTGGTGACACCTGGAGCGAGTCATAACAGGTTTGAATTACTACAGTATCCAAACAGGAAATAAAACAACAGGTTCCTCTGCGTCAGACTCACAGTCGTCTTTGTGACGTTCTTCTGTTCTGATGGATCGCTGGCCCAGAAGAGGAAAGCCGATTGGCCAGTTGAGGTCAAGATGGCTGAAGATTCTAACATCAGACCGGGACACACAAACTCAGCCGACCAGAGGAGTTTCCCTTTTGCTCCGTCGACGACCTGCGCCTGAGAGTGGGAAGAAGAACAGTACGGTGGCCCTGAAGGTCAACTACAAAAAACATTTCCACAATCCTGCTGCTCGCTTTCTACCACTCCCACATCCCCCCCGTCCTTCATAACCTCCACTGGCTCCCCCTCCCCTCCACTTCAAACTCTCTGAGTTGTCTGAGCTCCTCCAGCCACACTCTCAGGTCTGCTGACGTAAACCTCCTGTCCCCCTCTGCAGGTCTCACCACTGGTTCTGGGGGACCAGGCCTTCTCCATTGCTGCTCCAAACCTCTTAAACTCAGTCCCAAAAGCCAGCAGAGACCCCCCCCCCCCCCCCCCCTCACTCTCCACCTTCAAGAACTCCCTACAGACTCACCTCTTCTACATTGCCCCCCTCATCCTCCTTCTCTTACATGATTTCTTCTTTGTTTTGTTGTTGTTCTTTGTTAAGCCTCGTTCAGTACTCGGTTTGTTTTACCTGCATGGTGCCGTTTGCTGCATGCTGGATGAAAAGATCGAGCACTCTGTCATCGTTGAAGTGTCCTGGGACTGGTTGGCTGTAACAAGGCAGAGAGAGAATCACGTGAAGCATCCCAAACTCGACCTGTGATGTTAATGTTAGATGACCTCAGATGACCTCTGAGTGCACTGTGGTTGACTTTATTCACCAGTGGAGCTGAGACGAGTTGAAGGTCCACTCTTTGTGTTTGTCCCTCTGGCGGAGCACGGACAGTTTGCTGGAGCCGTAGACCAGGACCCAGTCACTCTTACTGGAGTTCATATTAGAGACCGAGTCCAGGCTGTTGTGGCTGTTCCCAAAACCGGCCACAAGGGGGAGCAAGAACTCTGCACTCTCTGCTCCTCTAAAAATAAAAAAATAAAAAGACAATAAGAACGTTGAGGTGTAGACGAGATGTTGTTGTTGTTGTTGTTGTTGTTGTTGTTGTTGTTGTTGTTGTGAGTAATGGAACAAACCTGCATTAACCAAGTCTTTGAAATTCTATATCACTTGGCAACCATTTTTATCTTTTGTTGAAGATATGACAGCTAACAACATAACTATGTAACCTTTTTATTGTTTAGTTTTTTTTCTTCTGTTTTGTTTTTGAATATATTTGATTCTTTTCTGTCTGTTATTTATTTGTTTGTAT